CCCCCCAGCCCCCACCCCTGGTCACTCCCCCCGCTAAGCCAATAGGGGGGGCAGGCCTCCTGCCAACCTCCCGCCATCTCCTCCTTCCAACAGGCCTAGCCCTGCTCTGCCCCATTGGGGCCAGGCCAGCGGGACCCCAAATGCACATTCGTGCACTGGGCCTCTAGTGTTTTATAATAAATCGATAAATAAATAAAGTGAGGGAGCCAGGGAGATGGACAGGGACATAAAACAGGAGGAAGGGCCGAAACCGGTGTGGCTCAGTGGATAGAGCGTCGGCCTGCAGACTGAAAGGTCCCGGGTTCGATTCCGGTCAAGGGCATGTACCTGGGTTGCAGGCACATCCCCAGTGGGAGGTGTGCAAGAGGCGGCTGATCGATTTTTCTAACTCTTCACTGATGTTTCTATCTCTCTCTTCCTCTCCCTTCCTCTCTGAACTCAATAAAAATATATTTTAAAAATACATCCAGGTGAATGCATTGCTAGGGTCCTTTCCAAGAGTCTTGGAAGGAGCCTGTGAAAGTGAAGTGTTCTAAAGCTTAAACTGCTTTCATTTCTTGGTAAATTACCACTGGCAGCCTTTCTTTTTGAACATCACTGTCTCCCTGGAACAGCTGGACCTGTTGCAGCCATCTTGGGACCATGAAGAAAGCTAGTTTAAGGGACAAGCCAACACACTGATGACACAGTGTGAGATGAAAGGAATCTTGTTGGAAATACATCACCTGCATTTCTCAACCTTGGCATCCCTTTAAGTTCAGGCTTCTTGTAGGAAAAATGAGAAATTTCTTCATTGTTTAAGCCACTCTTCATTCATTTGTAAACAAAGGCATCCAAAGACAACTACCACCTATTCTCTCCATTGTTTGTCTCAGTCCCAGTCTCTCTCTCTTTCTCAGATCCCGCCCCTTAAATATACGGAAAAGAGATAATCTCAAAACACAGGATGATGGTCCTTTATGAAATTAAGTTTGCTTTATGGAAAGCTCAATTCCTTGTCCTAGTTTTTCTCATTGTGTAGCCAATGAAGACGTCAGCACCCCAGAGCAGCAGGAAGGCTGCCAGCGTGGCCATGGTGTGAGCCTGGCTCCAGCGGGTGAGGGAGGGAGGTCATAAGGCCCGAGGGAGGGAGGGGGCAGTGGGTGGAGCGGGGCACTGACCTCTTCCTGGTGTTTGTCCTTCCCCAAGGCCAGGGTGTGTGTGTGGGGGTGTGTGCACGTGCGCCCGCTCGCAGAGTGGGGTGACAGGGAGATCGCCTGCAGCTGTAGGAACCTCAGCAATAAGAAATACGCATAAAAAAAAGAACCAAATTAAGCCCTAGCTGGTTTGGCTCAGTGGATAGAGCTTCCGCCCGGTGCCTGAGCCAGGGGTCTTCACACCGGTGTTCACATCAGACGCTTAAACTCTGAGTTCTGTCCCTGGACACGGACTTTTCTCCCACAAACGTGTCTCAGTCCACGCAGCCCAGGCAGAAAGCTCTTTGTGGGAACCTCGGGCAGCGTGATGGGCCTCGTGGGGTCCCAGCCCTGGGGCGCTGCAGGCACTGAATTCCAGACGGGCAGCTGTGACTCGGCAGGATGGGGCCAGGGCACTGG